GGCGGGCCGGGCGGCGGCGGGGCGCGGGCAGCGGCGTGCTGGAACCACGCCCGTCGACAAACTGCTACTTCTGTGATTTAACATATGTCATAATATATTAAAACGCAGTCAGTCAACTCCCAAACTGCAGTTGGCCGCGAGTTTGACGAGCAGGAGTTCATTGTACATGTTGATATCATTTTAAATTATTTATTTGTTTAAAAGTATAATGACAAATGTAAATAATGTATTGTAAATAAATTAGCTTATCATTATGTCCCACCGACAGAAATGATGGTGTACATTTTGAACTAAATTTATTGCAAGAAATAAATTGACATGTAAGATATCTGAAGCTTAATTATCCATTTTATTATTTTTAAACTTAACATAGACAAGGGTTTATTTTGAAGTCGTTTTTTATAGAGTCATTTGGTGAGCCGATAATGCAGGTAGTTTCACCATTTTATTCATTTAGCAAACATCTGATATAAAGCACATATTCCTATGCATGATATTAAATTACCATCTCGTGGTATATCATGAATAAATGGGTTTAATGTGTACTTTTTCAGAAGCAAAAGACAAATGTTAAAAGCGTGAAACAACAAAAACCGAAGATATAATTGAATTCGTAACTTGCTCACATTTGTGACGAAATCTAAACAGACTAATTATTTCTTTTTTAAAAGTTCTGTTTACATTTCATAGCACATACTCTGTAAATCTTATATTTACCTTCGCCCTGACCTGCTGAAAATTTCTTTATTCCATTTAAACTTTTCCTATTATTTCTTAAGTGTATAATTTGTATATTTTTATTTATAAGTATTTTGTTTCTTGCAATAAAATAAAATGTAAACATTTGTCACATATTGTAAATTACAAAGAAATTATAGTAATTAGTGTTAAAAAATACAAAATGTGTAATAAAAAAATATCAAACAGTAATACCTATTCAAAATTACAGTAAAACGGCAATTTTAATTGTTCCTGTAAATATTTTATTTTGACAATAAAGGCAAATGAAATTAAAAATGTAAGCCCAGAAGTATACTAGGTAGGCATTATGATAAGCAGATTATTGGGATTATCTATTTTCGAGTAAATTCTACTAGTTCTTTTGGGGAAATTTGAAATTCATTGTCTTTAATCATTGTTAAACCAAAGTTTCAATGATGTGTGAATGTGTTGGTTACGTGCATTTAATTTATAACAAAATATGTGATAACTATAAAAAAAACATTACTTACACATTTCTAATCTATATAATCATGGAGCATGTCATATCATTTCTGATGTAGTTTTGTAATATCCAGTGTTATGTAATACCTTTCTAAAATATAACAATTAGTTCTCCAAGTAAAGGTTACATTGTTACATTTCACGGAAGGGTAATACGTAATTCGACTAAATTATAATGTTTAGACATACAATTAAATATAGCTGTGCAAATTAATTATTAAGAGAATTTATAAAAGTCACATTCAATTTGTTTTCATAATAGGTAATTATTATTTGATCCTGTTGATGTTTTAATAAAGAAAATGTTAAATTAATCGTTGTTTTACTGGTTTCCCTTTAAATAGTCAAGACTGTCCAAAAGGTGCGATCGTTTTTAATTAATAAATTTAGGTAACAAAGTCCTAAAAGTAGTACCACTAGTACAACAAAAGAGCTTGGGACAGTTTGATTACAATGCCAAGTTGAGGACGTCAGATCTTTGTTATAGTTTTACACACTCTTATAAGCGTTCGAATATAATATGCATTTAAGTGCTAAAGACACGAACGACTTTTTATGGTAAATTTATATGAACGACAAGGCGTCCATCCGTGTTTGACCATATAAATAACAGCCGTCGACAATTTGTCGTCACAAAGTCGTTCGATAGACGACGCGTGTCAGCACTAACATTTTAGTATGAGAGAATGCGTTATCGCCTACGATAAATATTAAAACGCCTGCTTGAATATGTGCCAAAGAATCATTTCAAGATACCATTTATTTCAGGTCGTATTTCGTTTACGAAAGGCATAAAAAATTAAATCATGTTAAGATGAGTGGAAGTAGATGCATTTAATATATGTTATCTTTACTAATATTAAAAAGAAAAGTTTTTTACTTTAGTATGTATTGAAATAACTCTAAAACTACTGAACCGATTTTAAAAATTCTTTCACCATTAAAAAGCTACTTTATCAGTAACATAGGCTATTTCCTAGTTACTGTTAAATTTAAATTGAAGAAAGGCTCAATATATACTTTTTAACGTGTTTTTTTGTACATTAACACTCACAGTTAGGGTTAAATGAACAATAGACGGTAATAAATAGTTTATTTTTGTTGTGCAAGTATTAACGAAATGAGAGATTGTACATATTGACTTTTGTTCTGTTGAAGCTCTTTCTTCAGCTTGTCGATCTCCTTCATCATCTCCTCGTCTGACGTCACAGTCTCCTGAATCCGTTTACATTTGCGTAAAAACTCCAATATTATCTCCTGTCCTTCGGAACTTTCGTGAGATTTCACTGACGACTCGATCTCGAACAGATTTGTCTCCAGTTGAGCTTGCTTCTCCTCAGCGTACTAAAAAAGAAAACAGTAATTTAAAAAAAAGTATTTCACATAGAATTTCGTTTCGATTTCACATCAAACTACAGTTGCCCGCGACTTCGTCCACGCAATATTACAATAAAAAAGTAGCTTGTAATATGCCCGTCTATGTTAGCTACCTTTCAGTAAAAGTGCGGT